CCAGGCTCCCAAGCCTGACCCACTCAGTTTCTTGCATTACAGGTAGTGGCGCATGAGCCTAGATGTGATGTTTTGGATGAGGGATTACGGATATAGGCCTATAGATATGAAATAATGTAGTAAGGCTTATATTGTATTGTTTATACTTATGTACTGTATCGAACATGACATCCCGAGTCTTTTAATGAAATACATTTATAAGGAAATGCTTTTGATAACTCTTTATCATATTATTGTTTTGGGACAAATTCCGCAACTCTTTTATTAAAAGGTTACTCTGATTTTGAAACAAAGTATAAACAAAACCGAACTTTTCTGGCCGTGATTTTGGGGATGTCACACGAAGTGTGTGATGCGTGCGACCGGCCGGGCTCAAGTAAGTTTTCCCCAAGATACCCATACTTGTTATGTTATGTTATATGGTTTTGATTTAGAAAACTGCATGCTAGAATAGGGCTAAGGATCTAGGAGGATGCCTTGAGTGCCTGATATATGATTATGAGAATTGCATGCGAGTTAGGGCTAAGGATCTAGGAAGGATGCCTTATGTGCTTGTTGTATGAACTGTATACTAGGACTGTTTAGTCAGCAGTAGGATGGCATGTGTAGGTTATGCCTGGTTTGGTTACTTAATGCACGAATTCTGCTTGCTTTGTGCTATGGGGGTTCTGACCAGCTTCAACTAACTAAGGAGCGGATATGTACAGTATCCGCAAGCTAGTTAGGGGGAGGTGGTGGGGACTCCTAGTGCAGCTAATGGTGGAGAGTAGGTCGGGGAGTGCCTTAAGGAAGCCTAGGTTATGGTCAGTGAAAAGGGTATCGGAAAAAGAGACTGGGTGAAGTCGAAGCAATTCTTGGGGAAAGTACGGATAGATGTGGAAGGTAGTATGGGCCCATACTACTGAAAGCAAAGGATTTGTACTCGAACCAAAGAGGGCCTAGTTGGAATCGGGAAACTTGGAAAGTATATGTGACCCTGACATTCGTACGTTTATTTTTCAGAATGGTGGTCACGCGACATGAAGCAGGAGGTTCATGATCCGGGTCAGGATCGGGCTCGGGGGCAGGATCCAAGCATGTGGATGAAGGATTGCGAGAGTTCATTGCGTCCGAGATCACGAGGGGTATCCTTGATGCGATGTCGGTTATCTTCGGGTCGATCAAGGAGGGGATCGTTGAGCTGATGGAGGATCGCCTCAGGGCGTTCCGGAGTGACATGGCGGCTAGCCAGTCAGGACCACGCATACTGTCCTTTAAGGACTTCAGAGGGAGTGGTGCGCCAGATTTCCACGAGGTGAAGGACCCCATTGCTGCTAGACGATGGATTGCGGACATTGAGTCTGCACAGCCGACCAACTTCTGCCCCGAGGGGTTGAAGGTACGATTTGCAGCAGGATGTTTGAGGGACCAGGCTAGGGACTGGTAGGAGTCGGTTGGCGACTCTCTGGGATCCTCGGCTGTTGAGGCTATGACATGGTCGGATTTCATGACCCGGTTCAGAGTAGAGTTTGCACCAGCTGTAGAGCTTCAGCAGCTAGCCAGGGAGTTCTTGGATATGAGACAGACTACGGAGACTGTGGCGGAGATCACTGCCAAGTTCCGGGAAAGGGTTTTGTTGGTGCCCCAGTATGCGGCTGATGAGGACATGAAGAGGACCCGCTACCATGATATGCTACGAGCTGACATCCGGGAGCATGTTAGTTTTTCAGCTTGCCCTACCCTGGATTCCATGATTGTCAGGGCTAAGGAGAGAGAGTTTGATCTGGAGCACATCCGAAAGAGGAAGGCAGTGGAGGGGAAAACGGCGGGGGCTTCGGGGAAGAAGCCCAATGGATCCGATGGTAGGTTGAAAGGCCAGTTTGGGAGGGACCACTGTAAAAAATGCGGTCGGTCACATGAGGGAGCTTGTCACACTGGACCGGTTTCATGACGGTATAAGTGCGACAAGGTTGGGAATTTTGGCAGGGATTTTACTGCCCCTACTCTGGCGATGCAGATGTCAGATCTGATTTGCTTTCATTGCAATCAGAAGGGCAATAAAAAGGCCAATTGCCCTAGATTGATAGCAGCAACGCCGGCTGTGGCGCCGATTCCAACGACATCACGGGTTGTGGATTGCCGGAAGGCCAAGTTGGAGGCTCCAGTGGTTCGGAGCCGAGCATTTCAGCTGACCGTCGAGGAGGCACGCGCTGCACCCGATGTGGTGACGGGTGTGACTTCTTATCCTTATGCTTTTTATTATGTCACTGTGATTTTGATATATCATGTGTCTTGTTTAGGATCGTTCCATGTGAACGGAATCCCAGTTTAGGTGTTGTTTGATTCGGGTGCCACCCGATCTTTTGTCTTTCTTGCGCTTAGCAAGAAGTTTCTGGAGTCTTCGGGTATGTTGGATTGCCCTCTAAAGGTCGAGATTGCGGACGACCGGTCGGTGCAAGCATCGGAGGTCTATCGAGACTGTCTTTTGAGGCTGTTTGAGGAGCGTTACCTGGTGGACCTGGTTCCTATTCCGTTGAGGGGGAATAAGGTGATTATAGGCATGGATTGGTTGAGCCCCAATAGGGCAGTGGTAGATTGCGCACATCAGTTGGTTCAGATCAGGACCCCAAGTGGGGGAGAGTTGGTAGTTCAGGGCGAGAGGCCACAACAAGGACCAACGGTATGTTCAGCAGCGAGGGCTAGGTGTTACCTTCAGCAGGGTTGCGTAGGATATGTAGCCTATGTTATGGACACCCGAGATGCGGGTAAGGCAACGGTGGACGATGTGCCCGTGGTGCGTGAGTTTACGGATGTATTCCCTGAAGAGTTGCTTAGGATACCTCCGGAGAGGCAGGAGGAACAAATCCCACATTTCACTATTTGTGTTCCTCGTGAGTCTCATATAATGTATGAGTACAACCTTTGTAATTTCCATGTTTCATAACAATGTTTAAAATACATCAAGACATAACATTATGCTCATTCTAAAACATATTGCTACCCTAGGTAAAAAGGGAATGAAGACTTGAACTAGTTAGCCGAGATTCATCCAATGACATCGATCCATGAAGTGAAAATTTAAAAATGGGCCAATCCAAAATCCATCAATTATGAATACATATTAATTCACTTTTTCAACTAAGATAAATCTATCTCATGAGTGTCGCCAACCTTCACATTATTCATACGTTACAACCACTCCCATATAATTTCGAAAAATCCCTTGGTTGTTCCATGTAATAGACATGCAAATACATAACACACTGATGCTTGACGAAAAACAATTGTACCCCATATATCAAATTATATTTAAAAAAACACTTTCGTTTATGACTTCAATATCCATATACAAAAATCTTTTAAACAAATGATCTCAACTTCTAAGAGTGATTAGTCATAATACCATCAACAATCTTATTTTGAGATAAGAAAGACACGGTTTTAGGTCACCTATTAGTGTATTAATCTAAGTGAAAATTTTAGGAACTACTAACTTCATTTGATTTGATTTACCATAAATATCATGAATGAAGAAGTGTTGGATTTATTTAAAAAAAACATTCCTTAGATGCATATATTTCAATTAAACACAACCGTTGTCTAAATATATCTCCAAATATATTTAATGTCCTGGCAACACTCTATTTTCTTAAAACATCAAGATATCCCTTCCAAGTGGTTTCTAAAACTAGATATGAAAGTTATGAAGTATATTTAGACATATATTATTAGAATGGCCACATTTCTCTTCTTAAGATTGATTTCATTCTATCTATTGTTTCATACTATATGAGAAAACAACCGGGTGAAAACATCGAGAACTATCTCAACATTACTGAGGTTTGCATTAATATCACAACTTTCTACTGATATTAACATTCTGGCCTTTGTAAACTAACTATTATAAGTTATATTAAAACTTAATAACACTCTCTAAACCAAGATATAATTAATATTCAATCGAAAATGCTCTAGCCATACTAAATATTAGACCAAGTACATAACATATCATTTGTGGTAGGCTGTTGAAAGAATGGTCAATTGAATCATGTAGCTTATTAGATGTGGTACCCAAATGCAATTCACATCGGTGCGAGTTTATAAAATTCAAATAATGTTATCTTGAACTATTTCCAAAATCCAATGACTGAACATGCTCATTCTATCTATGTCTATCTACCATAGACTCTAATTCTAACATTGTGTTTCCCGATCTTATTATAATAGTATGTATTACAACTCATGTTGGCATTATGCATAACTTAAGAAACACCAACTACATATAACTAATGTGTTTGTCACATGCTAGATGTGGGCAACTAACTATGCTTCCATTAGCTCTACTGAAAACCTGCAATCCTTATTTTATCAGTAAGATCAACTTACTTGATCTTCCAAATAAGAGAAGAATCACATTTACATGTCTGCTTTCGATGAAAACCAATGCTCTAAATAACGTAAGCCGTGACTTGGCGGCATTGTCAAGCCTCAAGCTTTTCCGAGCCTTAGCGAGTCATGTCGTTTGTAATTCATATTTTTATATGTATTTTCAACTATTATTTATTTTTATACACATATATGAGTCAAGTCGGAGTTTTGGTAAAGCTTGGCGGCACATACAAACCTTGGAGCCATGGCGCGCCATGGTGCAATCACGACGAGCTTTTTAAAACCTTGATGAAAACTACATAGATGAGTAGGATATCTATATTTCTTGAGTATTTTTGGTGCACTAGTGTCTCGTCTCCTTAGGTAATATTCAAAATGCTTTATAAAGAAGTCATTAAACATGTTAGAATCAGTTCAAAACTATTTTGAAAAAAACCTATGTTTTTGTCGGTTTTCCGTATCTTACTAAACTTAGTTTAGTGTTATAATTTACAGAAATTTTCATGGTTGATTAAAAATAGATCAATAACCAAAACTCACAACTTTGCCACGATGCAACAATTTTTTTTCTAGCATTTAGGGCCATTTATGGGTTCAAAACAATATTTTTTCAAATTGTAATTTTCAGAAAAATGTTGCTCGGACAATGTAGAATGGTAGGCATGGTGAAAATATATCTTGAGATGACTCTAAAACCTTGTATAAATAAATATTTTTACTCTATAAAAATCGAATTTTTTAGAGTTCTTAAAACCATTTCTAAACCGGGTTTTCTAACAAGGTCCAACAGTAAAACCCTCAATTCTGCCCGGCCCGGCCCGGCCCATTACTGCTGCAATACAATTAATAAGCCTCCATAACCCCACAACAATCTCCATTCCATCAAAGCATCATCTCCATTTGCATACTAACACCACCCTACACTCCATTGATGAGAGCACAGATCGAGTTGCAGATTATGAGCGAGACATGTATGAAGATAATAGAGTCGTACTCCTGTTAATAGTAAATTTTGCTTTCCCGAATTTCAATTAGTTGACCGCCATTGCCATAGTAGCCCATAGCTACCTATTTTCCTTTCTTCGTCAATCACATCACCACTGGAATCTAAAATCTCCACACTCGTAACTCGTATCTTACTCCAAATACTCATCGATCAATGTGAATACTTCGTCACTCGTCAGTAACTCAGTATTCATCTCCTTCATTTACTATTCTGAAGCTTTGTACGAAGAGATTTTAAACAGTTTTTTCACAGGTACGTACGTACATCCCTAAATATTCACCATATCTCTGCATCCTTCATATTCTCGATCATTTATAAATCATCATATACAGAATAACAGAAACAGAAGTTCCTTATCTAATTCGTATTTCGGATTGGCAGATTTTGATTAAGCGAGTGAGTAGCTGGATCTGATGGGGAATTGTCAAGCAGCGGAGGCGGCGACGGTGGTGATTGTGCATCCAGGATACAAAATCGAGAGGATTTACTGGTCGATCAGTGCTCGTGACGTGATGAACTCGAATCCCCGTCATTACGTCGCACAAGTCCTTAGGTCGCCGGTAGTGAGATCGGATAAAGGATTGCCGGTGAAACAACTCAAACTTCTCCGGCCAGATGATACTTTGCTTATCGGCCAAGTTTACCGACTCATTAGCTACGAAGGTAACCATTAACCTGTTATTTAACCTAAATTCCCTTCCATTCTCAATAAATTCACAATCTCCACCATTTTTGTAGATGTATTGAAAGAATTTGCAGCTAAAAAATGCATGAAACTGGGGAAGTTATTGATGGAAAGAGGAGTGATTGAGCTGGGGAAGAAGAAGGACAACGCCGACGCTATTTCTCCGGTGCCGATTACCAATCCCGTCAAGGTAATCAATCAATCCATCTTCAAATCATATCATTTACACGTCGAATTTGTGTAGTTTCATGATGAAAATTGCGAGTTGTTACCTTTCTGGGCCCAATGATACTGAAATTTGTGACATTCGTATCTGTGTGGTCCATGTCCTTTTGATTCTGTAAAGGGCCAATGAATCTTTCCAAATTTACAAACTCTTAAAAGATCCCTCGCTTCCATTAACACTATCTACACTTTTTTTCCTTTAAATACCATGAAAACAACGTCATCCTTCGAAAGTTTTGTATAAGATCAAGTCGTTAAAAAAGATTTTTTTAGTTCAATTTCCTTTTATCACTTTCTGATTTATTGCCAAATTCATGCGTCAATATTTACGAATTTCAACAGATTTTTTTATACTCTGATAATCAAATGTCTTTTTAAAATAACATGTCGAGAAAAACATAATTCATTAGATAGATAGATAGAATAGCCATTATTGGGTTCACTAGGATTTGTCACAATTTTGAATTATTGTTCGATTTATAATAAAAAAAAAAATTATTGAGTAGTTTATTGTTTTTGTTCTATATAATATTTCGAAATGATAAACCAAACTAAACTCCGTTGCTTAAAAACCAAACTAAACTTGTCAACTCAAATTTGATTTTGGTTTTTTCAATGAATCTTTTTTTAATGAATAAAATAATAAAAATAAGCTGTTAACACGTCATCCTCAGTTTCTTAATAAAAAACTGTAGTGCTGAGCTGAAAAGGCAGAATAAAAAATAAAAAAACAGGAGTCACTTATAAAATTAAAGCGTAATTTATACTTTTGTTCCTCGAGTATAAATGAATTTTGTAATTTGAGTGAAAAAACTTTTTTTAAAAAGAATTTAATCCAAAAAGAGTAGTCATTTTCTTCAATCACAGACGAAAAACGTTATAGAAAATTCAAAGAATGATCCAAATCGCAAGAGAAATTTTTTTCAAACTAAAATTGGAAAAATCAGCAATATACAAGGACAAAAAGTGTAATTTACTAATTTTCTTTAAATTAAATGACTTTAATTAATTGGTTAATAACTAGATTTACAACTACTCCTTTTTCTAATTATATTTCTATTTTTACTAAACCATGTGCTTATTCTTGCTGTCATGGCATAATTTAGCTGTACTAATATCGCCACCTTTTAAAACTAAATATCAATATTTACAAAAAAGTCCCATATTTTTTTCAAAATTTTCAATAAAGTTTTAAAATTTTTTTTGAATAGAAAAATCTTAATATTTTCAAAAAATCATATAATCTATGATTTGCTGTTCAAATATAAAAATGATTTTTTTGTTCCGTTAGAAAAAAAAGTTTTAGGATTTTATTGAAACTTTTGAAAAAAATTTAAGATTTTTCTGTAAATAATCCTAAATAAATCTCTTTAAAAATAGTAAACGTATTTAATAACAAGTATTGCTTAAACATTTAAAGGAAAAAAAAAAATTAGCCATATGCTAATATCATTCGTCACAAAAAACTCAAAAGCGTCTACTTTCCACAAAACGATCATCACTTTTTGCAATAATTGGTCACTTTCTATTTACGGTAAAAAAAACTTAAAAGGTTATCTTATTTTCCCACAACAAAAATACATTCATTTTTTTTTTATGAATAAAAAATTATAAAGAAAAAAAAAAGATTAAATAAAATTATTGAATTAAGTATGAGGTGATGTTATTGTAGGGGGAGAGGAATAGTAGGAGACGAAATGGAAATGGAAATGGTGGTGGAGGACAATGGAAACCAGCTTTAAACAGTATTTCAGAGATTGGGAATTGAGTCTCACTTTTCCTTCAACTTTTTCTCTTTCTCTTGATGTAATCCGTTTAAACTCTTACATGTTCATCTCCATCTAATTATAATAATTAGAATTAACTACTTTTATTATTTAATCGATAGGGTTTAAATTTTAAATCATTAAAAAACGACTAATGTTTATATAGTGGTGTTTAACCTTTGTGGGGTTTTCCCATTTGCAAATGACTTGCAAAATAATCAATTTTTCGAAACACTGTATTTTAGAAAAAGTCTTTATTTCTTCTTGAGTTGTCGTTGAGGAATGTAACATTTTCAAACTAAATGTTAAATGCAATTATGTGAAAATGTTTTATTATTATTATTATTATTAAAGTTATCTAGATTTAACACAGCTAACACTATAATGAATTAAAATATCATATGCTACTACTTACTATTTCTTTTGCCGAGGCCTGAGGCATTAGTCTATTCGGTACTGTTTACTATTTCTCTTATTGGTATATAATAAATCCAAGGAAAATCTGAAAAAAAAAAAAAAATCGTAGTGAATCTTTTTAAAATTTTTTAACCATTGAAACATGAAAACATTTGCAAAACAACTTTTGTATTCGGTTACAACGGATTTTAAGCATTAAATTGCAACAAAAAAAACATGAATGATGTTTTCGTTATAAAGTTTTTTTAGCTAAAAAGATTAAAAGTTTAAGGATTTTTCTGAATTTTTTTTTTAAATATACTTTCAAGAAATCTAATATTTATTTATTAAAAAACATAAAATAAAGTAACGTGTGCATCTTTTTCATTAAAAAACTCATACTTCTTTATTTAAAAAACAACAATTATGATGATGGTGGATTGGACATGAAGAATGTGGAAGGTGGATCGAAGATGATGCTGATGGGTACTATAGGTGTTTTGTGGTGAAGATGGAGGTGTTGTTGGAAAATGGTGGTGGTGTTGGTGGTGATGTATAAGTATGAAGGTTTTCATGAAAATGATGATCAATTAAGATCATCTCCAATTCATCTTTATTTTTCCTCCTATAAATGGAATAAAAAATGAAGTAAACAGTGTTTTTTCTACAATCTTACTTCATCATCTTTATTTTTCCTCCTATAAATGGAATAAAAAATGAAGTAAACAGTGTTTTTTCTACAATCTTACTTCATTTTCTATCTTATTTTTTATCCTAAAAAATATATTTTTGAAATATTTCATTTTTATAACTTATATATATTATCAGATACACCTTTTTAATAATTAAATTCTATATTTATGATTAATTAATATAAATTTGTATATAACATTATATTATAAATATTAAATATTGTATTTAAATTATTATTAACAGATAAAATAAACTAGAAATGCATAAAATAAAAATAAAAGAAATTAAAATTGACAACCAAATTTCATTTTTATTTTTGGAGATATGAATAGTATTCCCCCATATATGGGGGAAAGCTATTCATATCTCCAAAAATTGAGGTGAAACTGGGATAGGGTTAGAGAATAATGGGGGAACAAATAGAGTTTGGGGGTGGGTTGGAGATGTCCTAAGAGGGTGCAAAACTTAATAAAAGTTAAAAATGAAATTTCTTTTTTGACAAAAATGTAGCGGCAATGAATTCAAAAGCGAACTTTTGTTTGTTTGCCGGAAGGACTACATTTCTAGGCCACATAATTTGTATAATAGAGCTCTACTTAAAATAACAGCTTCTGATAAGTCTTTTTTTTAGTCGTTCAATTGTAAAAGAATCTTCGGTAAATGGTAGTTTTATGGTAATGTTTTACACCGAAGACCTAAAAATTCAACAATAAAGTAATATTTGACCTAGAAATGTATTTCTTGCAACAAATTATCAAAGTCATCTTAAATTATATAGGAGGTAGATGATATCTTTATGATGGTATTAATAATAATATTTATTAGTAATAATCACAAAAAATTCCAAAAATAATATCTAAATTAACATTATTGTGTTTTTTTAATAAAAAAATTATATTTATTTTCAGTTTTTTAATAAATACATATTAGTTTTCTTCAAATAAATTTAGTGTCTATATATATATATATATATATATATATAAACTTTAATTTTATTTATGATAAAAGTGTAAAAATGGTATTTGTGATATGTATTTTTCGCAAGATTTAGTTCAAACCTCTTTTGATTTCATGGTCCTTATAATCTAACTTCTATGTGGAAATTCCTTCTAAAACTTAAAATGACTATTATACTATTTTTTTATGTTTACATTCTCAATATCTATTTTAATATATATATATATATATATATATATATATATATATATATATATATATATATATATATATATATATATATATATATATATAAACTTTAATTTTATTTATGATAAAAGTGTAAAAATGGTATCTGTGATATGTATTTTTCGCGAGATTTAGTTCAAACCTCTTTTGATTTCATGGTCCTTATAATCTAACTTCTATGTGGAAATTCCTTCTAAAACTTAAAATGACTATTATACTATTTTTTATGTTTACATTTTCAATATCTATTTTAATATTTTAAAAATTAAAACAACCCCCCCACCCCCCCCCCCCCACACACACACACTCTCTCTCTCTCTCTCTCTCTCTCCCCTCCCACCCAATCGTGTTCTTCGTAAACACACACACATACACTATGAGATTACTCCACCCCGCCTTTGTGAGCCTTCTTTCACACATATAAAATATTGATGATAAAAAACACTCGATTTCTCCTCTCTGTTGCATGAACATATTACCCTAAACAATATTCATAAGAAAAATGCCTTGTAATTCATATAATATAACAATCAACAAGATCAAATCACAATAAATCAAAGACAAATTTGGATCTCTTCAGATCTTGCATTTGATGAATAAAGCAAATTGTTCTCCAAATTAGATCCAAGAACAAGAAGTCGTCCACCCCAATCATACATCTTTAGAGACGAATCAATTACTTTGGAAACTTTATCATCGTCATTCACCAAATATCGCAAAGGTTATGAACTTCTGACCACATTAACAGTGATAAAAAATAGTTGTGCTTCACTTTCTGAGTATCGACAGTCTTCTTCTTGATCATCTTCTCACTATTTTAACGATTTCTTCAAAAATTCAAGTTAATGAATTAAAATTCGGTTGATTTAAGGAAAACAGTGATGAAGCTATGTCTGAAGTGGGAAAAAACAATCAGACTTTTAAAGTAAAATGGATTAATATCCATTCGAAAGTTACCCAAAATTATGCGAGATGTATGGTTTCCAATGATATTTTTTTTTTTGTTATTAATGAATTGAATCATAAATCCAGTTATCCAAGATAATGAAGAAAAAACTAGAAAGAAGAAGTATGAGAGATACTTACCTTTGTCGGAACTAGTTTAATATCCATTCAACATTGATTTCATTGATTTCTGGTTGACTCAAAGAAGGAAAAGAAACTAAGATTCACACTCACCCTCACATAGACAAATGGGAACACGACCTATGTTCATCTTCTTAACCTCAAAGTTCCCATCTTATTTAATTTCTTATGTAACCTGTATAGGGGGAGTGTGACTGAGATTATAAAAGATAGCATACAACACAGTCATAGGAATCGGTGGAGAGAGAGAGAGAGAGAGAGAGAGAGAGAGAGAGAGAGAGAGAGAGAGAGAGAGAGAGAGAGAGAGAGAGAGAGAGAGAGAGAGAGAGAGAGAGAGAGAGAGAGAGGTGGGCTCCTCTTATTTTTAAATCATTAAAATAAATAAATAAGTATTTAAATTAAAAAAATGAAAGAAAAACAAAAAATAATTACCCAATGATATTAAAATCAGTTCAATTTACAAAGGGAATAAATTTCACAACGAAATTAGCTCAAAAGGACCACGAAGCAAAAAATGTCAGGGTTTGGACTAAAACTCGAAAAAAATGAATACTACATGGACCATTTTGCAGTTTTGTCTTTATTATCGAAAAAATTATCCTTTTTTTTTTTTTTGCAATTTAACCTTTAAAACCGGCACTAACCGGTTACAAGGGTTGTTTTTGCATGTGTTTATCAGTTTTAGTGGTTAAATAAAAAAAAATGTGTAATTTTTTATATAATGGAGCCATAATGTAGAGATTTTTTTTGTAGCTTAGTTGAACTACTAAACTCTTACCATTTTATCTACATATTGGTAAGGTAATTAACTTAGTCTTTATTAATTTTATTACAATATTGTGTACGAGGTTTGTAAAAAGGAAGATGTCTTAAATGGACAAATATGTTTTAAAAAACTCTATCAAAGTTTTTTCTGTTTAAAAAACAATATTAAAGTTTTGTTTGTAAAAAACATCATCCATCTAAGAACTTTATATAAAAAACACCATCGAAATATAACTTTTGTTTAAATCTTACCTATTTGTAACTGACATGTGTGGGTTAAACCCTTAGATTCAACCTGTTAAAAATATTTAAAGGAAAATAAAAATGACATAGAACTTTCCGTGAAATGTGGATCAAGTGCCTCTAGGTGGAATAAGAGAATTGTACATCACCTTTCATTAACAACGGGATGGAATGAATGTCTCTAGGATTCAATCAATCAAACATCCTTACCATTTTTTGAAATAGATACCTTTATACAACATGTTATGTTCTTCTTCATGTAAGTTGTTGTCTCTTATGAAATCAATTTCAACACATTGTGAAGGATTGTGTACATACATAATTTTCTAATTCCCAATTTCTCCATATTACAACTTATGTGTTTTCAAACAAAGTCATTTTTATGGTGTATTTTCTACTAATTGCTTGTTTCCACATATGACTTGTAATTTCGTTTTTTGAATGTTCTTGAGATACTTAGCTTATGGTGTTACATTTGGATGGCGTTTTTTGAACGTTTAAAAAACAAAGATTTTTTTTGTTAATTTGTAGTTTTAGTATGATTCTTAACAAAGGGTATAAAGGTCTTGAAAGTACATTGTTGTAATGAGTCATACATTATGCCTTACTTTTTTCTTGAAATGACTTAAACTTGTAATTAAAATAAAACTTCTATTAAAAAATGTTCAAAAAAGTATAAAAACTTGACTTTTAGATATGTTATTTTGTATAGATGTCATTTTGCATATGTAAAGTTATAAAATTTTGCATTATAGTTTGTATATTGTATTTGTTCTCTTATTTGACTTGCCAATCTTTAACTTTGGCTTTTACACGGAGAATGTTGTTCTCAACTAATGGTGCACTTAGTATAAATGTTTACCACAAAGGAGTTGAAAGGTCATATCTATGTGGTTTGGGTTAGTCATTCATATATGTGTCTTGGTAGGTTTCAGGGTGTTAGTGGTTGTTTTGTTTAGATGTTTGCGGTTGTAAGGGTGTTCACGGCCATGAACCCTATTTACGGTTGGCTTTGGCTATATATATATATATATATATATATATATATATATATATATATATATATATATATATATGAGTCTGTCAGTCTTATGTTAGAGTAGTACGTGATTAGTCTGTGCACGGCCCTAGTGTGTGTGTCCAAGGTGTATTTTGACGTTTTTATGATATAAACGTGTTCATGCGTGGTTTAATCCTTCTTATACTCCATTCTCACTTTGTTTGACTGCTATTTGTTTGATCACTGGTTTGGATCTTCAGATTTAAGGACCTTACAAATGGTATTAGAGCATATCCAATGTCAAACTCATATTTGGTGTTTACGGCTACAAGTTTTTCTTCATTATTGTGGTTGTTTCGGGTATATTTGCTGGAAACGTGCCTTTTGATCAATTTTCAAAGTTGTTGGAATCGAAATCTGCTTGGATTTAGTTATTTTAAGTGATTACAGTGCTCTTTGTTGAAGCTTTTACGACCGTAATCAAGTGTACAGCCGTAAATCATTCCAATTTCTTTTGACCGTAAACTGTATTTACGGCCGTGAACCCTTCACTGACTGTGTTCCCTTCATTGATCGTGAAAATTTGT